GCATGGTATTCACAACCCTCTGAAACTACAGTTCCAGGGCATCTGATACCCTCTTCTGATTTCCTCAGGCACTAGGCACATAAATGCTGTACACACACACACACACACACACACACACACACACACACACACACCCATATGCAGGGAAAATACCATACACATAAAATAAAGATATTTTTTAAAAGTAATAGCACCAGCATGTACAGGCAATTAACACATGACAAAAATAATAGCACTGTACAGATGTGAGGTAGCACCCTGTTTTTCAATAATTGGTATCTAGCATGGTTTACTTAGATTTTCACATAGAAAAATTTAGATTTTACTCCTTTTTTACAGCAGACACAAAAATCAGTTCTAGAGAAACAGAAATGGAAAAAGTAAAAATAAAGATTTCAGAATAGAATATAAGAGGACAATATCTCCACAATCTTTAGGTGGATAATGATTTTAAATGGGTCACAAAAGTATTAGCACAAATGAGAAAAGCAGTAAGTCAGATGATTAAGGACATCTGTACATCAAAATCTACAACTAATGTATCGACTAATCAGACCTTGAGCAGTTAATCATACACAACACATAAATCAAAACTGGGCCCATAATAGGGCATATAAAAATCCAAAGAAAATAGCTAATGTAATAAAAAAAAATGAGCAAGATATTAAAACAGGAAGTTCAAACTCAAGATAGTCTGATAGGAGATCTATAAAAGCTGTTGGACACACATTAAAACCTCAATAACATGCTGGAGAAAGTTTGCTTGGTGGTTAAGAGCAGTTGTTGCCACTACAGAGGATCAGGTTTTGGTTCCCAGAACCCACATTGAGTGTCAAACAAACAACCAGCAACTCCAGTGCCCGGGGATCTTAACCCCTCTTCAGGCCTCAACTGGCACTGAATGTGTGTGGTTCTCATTTAGGCGATCAGACACACATATCACAAAACATAAATAATTATGAAATCATCAATAAAACACCTTGACCTAGCTGCTGGCATGATTAAAACAAAAACAACTAACCCAGTATTATGAAGTAAAGCGAATTTTAATATAATGTTAGTGAAACAGTTCATTGCTTTTTCCACTTTGAAGAAGACTGTAAGAATCTACTGTGAGTGGATCTATACCCCCTTTCACTCCTAGTCAAACACTCAAATAAAATATGAGCGTTAATTTATATATCCAAGTGTATATAAATGTTCATACCACGTTGAATAAAACATCTGAAGTTAAATAGGAGCTCGAATGCCCGTCAGAATTAGCACACGTAAATGATCCAAAGAGTGGGCAGCAATAAAATTAATTCATTGCTTCAAACAACCGCAGAGTCTCATGCTTACAGCTCAGATAAGTAGAGGCAGAAACAGTAGAGTGCATCCTGTTAAGGACTCCAGTTTGCACGCTGCTGAATCCCAGCAAGTGAAATGCAGAGATCTAGAAATGAGAACATTACAGCCATTAGAGAAGATGAGAGAGGAATTACTGGTTAGAAAGGGCCCCGACTTCCTGTGTACCAATAGCGTTCTAGTCCATGAGGGGAGGGGCAGTTACATGGAAACTTGTGACATGCTTGCTTTATGAAAATCTACTGCATTCTATGTTTGATGATTTACTCAGCGTATTCTGCATTTAAAGAAAAAAATATGCTTCATATAAACACACACACACACACACACACACACACACACACATTCATCCAAAATTCCAACCCTTTTCTCTTTCAATTTCAGGAAGTAAATACTCTTCTGGAGGAAGTGACAAAGATTGCCACTCTTCCGAATTTCAGACTCCCCAAAACAGAGCAAGTAGTTTGGGGAGGGTGAATACCATACAGTAGATATTATATATTAAGCTACGGCAATTTGTATGTAACCCCCCTATTTTAAATGTAAATGTAATGCTCATTTTCAAGTAGATCTGCTGGGCCCTAAGTCAAATAAGTCCAAAAATGTCATGATCATAAAAGCAAGAGCTGATCAAGCAACAGTTGTATTTCTCTGTCCCTTTAAGCTCTCTCCCTGATACACTGCCTACCACCAGAATCCTTTAGATATCTAAGAGGGAGAAGTTTGAGAAGCAAATGCATAGAATTACCCCCACACCAGGTAAACTGAGCACATGGAAACAGTTTTCTAAGCATGGAGCTATTCTAACATTTCCCTTTGTGCAGGAGGAGGAGACCACATCCGGTTGGAGCAAGCAGGTCATTAAGCCCAAGCAAAATAATGCACTGAAGCAGAGGCGCCTGTTGTTTATCTCACAAAATAACTGGAGGGGTTTTCAAAAGGAGTGGAGCAAAGGGTACATTACCTAGTGGAAATGTCAGCAGGACAGGGCTGCACACTGGGGTCTTTTTCATGTACAATTCACAACAGCTAAAAATAAATTGAACCTGGCAATGGCTTCCCCTGTTCCTGCAGCTCCAGGGTGCTACTTTCATTTTAATAAATGATTGAACAAAGTGTTTAACTTCTTTCTGTTTTCAGACAGATATTTGGGGGCATAAGAAATGCATTATTGAATATTTTCCTCGCTCTGCCTTGGCTTCAGGTAGAAGGCCCCTCTTAACAAGTAGAACTAAAGAATTGGTCAGCTCAACACTAAGAGAACAGGAAATTTGCCTTATGTTACTATTGGAAATGAAGGCTTGTCTTGTGCTGTCTAGGTCTGTTTTAGCTTCTTGGGGACAGAAGTGAGGATAAGTCTTCTGGCTGAGGGAAAGTTATATAGATTGCAATAATAAAATGAAATTAAAAATAAACAACACCTATGAGAAGTGGTTTTTGTGATGCTGCCAAACAGACATGAACTGGAAAAGAAATGGAAAGGAGAAATGAATTAATATTGAAAGATAATATTTTCTTAATGAGAAGCTGAAATAAAAAATGAATGTCAAATGCTCCTGGGGTCTATTAAAAAAAGGAAAGCATGAGGACAATACAAACACAATTGATTTATGTTCCTTAAAGATAATGTTCATTCATTTTATTTGCATTTCCTTCCCATGGTGCTTTGCAAATTTATATTTTATGGTATTGGATAGAATCAATGCTTTATTATTTGATAAGCATTTTTATTATATTTTACCTAATTCTAGTATTGAGGCATACAAAAACTGGTATTTCTCACTTTATTAACAAAAGCTATGACCAAGACTTTATGGGAATACCTCAATTCCTACAATAATTCTGAAAATAGTACTATTCTTCAACACATGTTGGAAGTAAGAAAAGAAAGTCAGAAACAGAAAACGACATTTTGAAGTTGTACAAGTGGTCAAAGGAAAAGCTGGCATATCGACCAGATCTCTTCAAAGACTCATCAAACACACACTCAATAGGTTCAAGTCTCTTGTTCTAACTGGGACAAGACACAGGGGCAACTCAACTGAACATGTCTGTTAATTCCTTTAAAACTTTTAACCAACATTCATCATAGAAACTGACCTGAGACCACTCGAATGCTGAGTTGAATACTTGGAGGAATCTAGCCAATCTTCTTCCTGCATTTTAGATACAACAATTCCCCAAGAAAATACTAAATTGACAAAATGGGGACAAGCTTTAAGTACTAGATTTGCAGTTACTTAATTTGCCATAACAATTTAGCATGGCTAATGGGTTCATTGTGTGCTCCTACAGAACTATCTGTGCTAGGCAATGAAGGGAGTTCAGATACAAAGTGCTCCTATGTTTACTATAGGAGCTTCAGACTTCAGACTGTACAACCCATAGGAACTTGGGCAACAGATAAAGTGGGAGATCCAGCTAATGTTGAAGTGCAGGTTCTCCTATTAATAATTTGTGTTTGATTTGGAAGGATATTTGAGTGAAGAAATACAAAAGACTCACTCAGGAAAGGAAATCAACAAGTGTACAAACAGAAAATTAAATTTAGGAATTATTTTTAACCACAAAACCCTGCACAGTAGATAATTTGTGAGTGAGTTTTAGAGTTGGGCTTCTGTGATGTCTACCTGATTATAACATATTGTGGTTCCATATTTTGATCCAGAAAGTAACCCTGGCTAGGAATGATAAGTCCCAGAAGAGTCCCAGAGTGGTAAAGCAGTATTAACGTAGGAAGTAGAGGACAGAATACGCATACGTATACATACATACACATACTATATATATAGTATGTGCTGATTATGTGGGTTGGATAGATGGCTCAGTAAAGTATTCACCATGCAAGTTTGATCTCCAATACTCATGTAAAAAGCCAAATATGGTGGTGTGCACTTGCAATCTTAGTATTTGGGGGATAGAAACAGAAGGGTTCAACGCCTCACTGGCCGGCTAATCTAGACTAATTGGCAATTCTCAGCTCCAGGTAGAAATGTCACCTTTAACAACAAGATGGACTGTGTCTAGAAATGACATTTGAGGCTAACTTATAGCCTACAAACACACACACACACACACACACACACACACACACACACACACACACACACACACACACACAGCTGGTTTGGGGATGAAAACAGAAATACACAGGAATACCTTTGATTTCATTAAAAAGTATGGGCTCTGTCGTCTCACTTGTTAGTTGTACCTTTTGGCTAATTGTTTGGCTTTTCTGGACATCTTTTTTCATATGTCAAATGGGAGGGGGTTTTTTGAGTAATTTATATGACTCTTTTCAAATCATTCACACATACACAGGAGTAGGTAACAGAATTAAATGTTCTGAACAAGAGAAAGGAATCATTGAATTAGGAAACAAAGTCATAACATCTTCAAAACTTTCCTTGAATTATAAGCATTTGGGATTATCTCTGAACTACAGTAGAGACCAAATCCATTGATAGGTCAGGGTGAAATCATAATCTAAGTCAAGAAGATAACTTGGGATGCTAAGAATAAATATAATCATAGTCTAAAGAAACAAGCTATGGATAATGAAGGCCAAGGGGGTAGGGAGATAGATGGAAAGGAATCCAACAGAGGAGCAAGGTATTTACTTGTTAGACCACAGCATGGGAACAGTCACATACTTGCACTTGTGGCTTCATAAGAAGGACAGCTACTTCACAAGACAGGCTTCTGGCTTAGCTAGCAATTCTCTCAAGCATGCATTATTTGTCTTCTTACACAGCTTTCTTTTGCAGACAGCCTGAAACATAAAGAGAAACAGTTGACTACCAAGTAGAAAATGTTCAAATAGAAAGAAGGTAACTTCTCAGCAGTGCATGAGGAAATGCAGATGATATTGTCAATGCTTTGCACCTGATAGTTTGTGGAAACCATAACCATAAGCCATGGGAGACATTATGTCTGTATAGAACCTTACTTGTCCATCATGGCATGGCCCATAGAAAACAAGTACATTGAAGAACCACTAGATGACAAACCACTGTATCTAAATTTAAACATTGGCATCATCTCCTGCAAAATATACTGTAAACTAAATCCTCCCAGGATAGAAAACAGACATGTACATGTTAAATAGAAATACTAAATGATGTATCCCAATTCCTTAAGACAGAATAATGCAACAAATCTACTTTGGGAACAAACGGTATTAAGGTCATATTTTGGAAATGTTCACACTAAATTCATCTGTGGCCTGTAAATTATATTTAAGAAAGCAAACTTAATTTAGAAATTCTTTTAAGAATGTTCATTATTTTAAAAATCCATAAGGGAATGACCTTCAAATATCTGAAAATCAAATTATGTGCAACATATTATGATGAGCAAATATGATGGTGTCCATAAGATATGTCTTTCATGGTATAAAAATGTGATTTCTAAAAATATCACACACAAATTCACCTGGATTTCTTCACCCACAGATAAGTATATTGTTGAAAGTTAACCCGGTGTCTTCTTGGGTATTTTCTAATTATTATGCAGCTTTTTCTCTGCCTTCTGTGATAGTAATTCACAGGCTATTGCATACCGATTTCCATACGCATTTTTCCTGCTTTAGACCAATGAAGCAATAAATAAGTGGGGGGGAGGTAAGTCCTCTAAACAGCATCTGAGCAGTGGTGCAGGAAATAGAAAGGAACTCCCTGAAGGAGCAAATGCATGCATAGCAAATTCCACCAGCAACTGCCCTGGTATCACCCAGCTAATTATATGTAATTGTCCCCTATATTGAAACAATAAATAAAGAGAGAGGCTACTGCTTCTTGTTGGAGATTACAACTCCACATAAGCAGGAGGAAAATAAATGAAGAGAATCTGAAAATAGATAGCAAATACTAAAATTGTTGTCAGGGTGTTTTATACTACTATATTCCAGCGATAAATTTTCTACGTGTTAAAAAAAAAAAAAAGATAACACACATAGGTATGCTCAAATCAGAATGAGGGCTAGAGCAATTCTAAGTGTGATAACCTAATACGTGTAAACAGCCTAAACCAGTTAACAGTGTGGGGTTATTAACTTGAAAAACTTAATCAAGTGCAGCAAGATATGAAAATTTTGTAAGATACCTATATTGTCTTAAAACTTTTTGAAATTATCATTGACCACTATCTCTCCACGATTATCACCAGAACATTCATTCCTAGCTGGTGGCAGGTCATTGATACAGGCTAAAAAATATTTTTTTTAAAAAAAAAACACTGGAGATAGAGAAAAAAAAAAAGAAAGAAAGAAACTTCCAAATGATAACAGCAAAGCCACTAGTTCAATGTCATTGCAGCCGGTACTGATTATAAAGCACCAACTCTTCCCCTATAACTCACCACATAATGCCTAAGTCGATGTCTTTATGCACAGAGGAGGAGTTCTTCATTGTCCTAAATTTTCAATTTATGCATAGGCATGTCTTTGCCTATTCATCTTATATCCACTTTTTTTTTTTCACTTTGCTTAAGGCAAAAATTCAAGTCCTTTCTACCTGCTTAGAATCCCACCAGAATAAGGCTGAGATTATAACCTCACAGCCATTGACGGTTGTCTACTCTCACAGCAGATAGAAAGCACAAAGAATTAAACTCTGCATGGTTTCATCAGCCTAGGCTTCCTGAAATTTTCACATTCACTTATCTATTTCTTTTTATAACTATTCTAATATGGTAGGTAGCACTAAGCTACACATAATTATTCATAGCAACACATATCTATCTACTCACTCTTGTATTTTCATTTTCATTCATAGATGATGCATTAAGTATCTCTTGGTACTAGGTCTATGATAGGCTCTGGAGACAGAGAAATGAGTAAAACATGACACCTCTCCTGAAGCAGCTTTAGAAGAGTGAAAATGAGCAATGAGCCTCCTCCCCCCAATAAAAATCCCAGTTGGCTAATGACAACTGAGAATTTGGATGTAAATAGAGGGTGTCAGTCAAAAGACAGATAAACCAAGTTCTGCATATTCTAAGTTCAGCTGTTGGTTGCATTGATGATAGAAGATAGCAAAGGAAACTATGGCATTGTGTAATAACGCATTTGTTAAATAAAATAAACAGAATGCTATTTTTGGTTGTTACTGGAAAACCTTTAAATTTTCAGTTTCACTTGAAATAATTGCAGGCATTGGGAGTGAGTCCTATTGCAAACATCAGTTCAGTGGAAAAAGCCACACTGTTGTCCATGGGAAAGAACTTTGGGGATTTGTTTTCTAAGCCTTGATCTCTTACAAGCACAGCCTGGTTAGCTATTTCTTCCGAAAGCCTGCCCAGTAGTGATCACCCCTCGCCATGTGTATATCAACATACTGTCACTCAGTGCCTTAAAGATGTTAGTTCAAAATCTAGGCATACTTTCCTAGAATTTTCTTTGTTGTCAAATCAGCACCCTTCATTTCTAGAAATACTCTCTTCTTAGCATTGTTATGATAAGGCCTTGTCTCTTTGCCAAATTCTTCCTTTGTAACTAACACACTCAAAAGAGGTTGTATGTGTGTGTGTGTATGTGTGTGTGTATGTTTGTTTGTTTGTTTTATCATGTGCCTATGTGAATGTGCCTGTGCCTGTGTGTGTGCATGTGTATGTGAGTGTGCATGTGCCTGTGTGCGTGTGCATGTGCTTGTGTGGGGGGGTGCACATGCCTGTGTGTGTACATGTGCCTATGTGTGTGCATGTGCCTGTGTGTATGTTCATGTAAGTGTGCATGTGCCTGTGTGTGTGCATGTGCCTGTGTGTATGT